CTATCTATCTATCTATCTATCTATCTATCTATCTATCTATCTATCTATCTATCTATCTATTTCTCTCTCTCTCCCTCTCTCTCTCTCTCTCTCTCTTCTCGAATATATTTATATTGATATATCACCGTCTAAAGAAAATTCTGGCACAGCCCTCGACGTCGTATACATGTACGGTGTAGTAGTAATTCTAGAAAGACCGCAGACTATAAATCAAAAGACTGTATTCAATAAAAGCGACGCTTTATTATTTAAAACGTCGTGTCTTGCAGCTATCATGCGATAAAAGCAGATTGTGTGTGCCAGTGTAAGTGTGGTAGTTGAAACAGTAGCTATTGGCACCGGCTGTCGGTTGACCTGCAAGCAGTATCGCAGAGCCATATGTGCGGCTACGTCAGATGTATGGTAAATTCATGAGCCAGCCGAGAGAATCTTCCCTGGCTGTGTGATGTAATTATGATCTTATTGGTGCGTTGCGTGTGCCTGTGTGCGTGCTTGTACGCGTGTGCGAGCACGTGTGTGTACGTGCACGCGTGAGTACGCGCGTGCGCGTGCGTGCGCGTGCGTGCGTGCGTGTGCTTGAGCGGGTGCGCGCGCGTGTGCGTACATACATACATGCGTGCGTGCGTGCGTGCGTGCGTGCGTGTGCGTGCGCGTGTGCGTGCGTGCGTGCGTGCGTGTGTGTGTGTAACGTGCGTGCGTGTGACGTGCGTGCGCTCGTGTGTGTGTACGTGCATGTGTCCTCGGTGGGCGCTGTACTTTAATAGACGTAATGGCTCCGTGTGGAATACCACGCTCCCAGTCATTGCCGCCTCATCAGCGATACTTCCCACCACACAGCTCCATATGAACTGAGAAATAAGCACTGGGACATGTATTAAATCTATATATATATATATATATATATCTAAACGACATATATATATATATATATATATATATATATTATGTATAGTTTTTTAGGAGGCTGACTATAACGTTCATGTCGTGTTGCAGAAGGAGGAGGAGCAGAAAATTGAAGTTTTGTGCGTACAGCGAAGTGTGTGCAACTGATTTACATATACTTTTCAGGCCATACTTCCACTAGGATATTGCTCCGGATTTCCATATTTATTCAACAGATCCGCGGTTAACGGCATTTCTGAAATCGCTTTCGGTTTTATCGGTTTAATTTGAGATTTTCTGCTATTGATGCATATAGCAGGTTCTGTAAAGGCTAAATAACTTCTGGTATATCACTACACTAGCAGGTGTATGTTTTTTCAACGCATACATTGTACCCAATTGCTACATGGAAATTGCTTGGATGAAATGGCATGAATGGCATTTTATTTAGTTCTCTGGGATTATCAGAGATCAATTGTATTCGCTTTGCAATGACGATGTACAGCAGGAGTGCATTTCACGTGTACACAACGTATAGTAGTATATCATATGTCGATCGACAAGGCGCATGGTAGATGTATTACTATTTACCGCGCGAGCAATTCTATATGACAAGTAGTGAAATATGTGAACGAAAAGAGAAATGTCTTATTACATATAAAGGCGGCTGTATCAACTAGAAACAGATCTGTGGTGTTCAGTCGTCGGTTTGCTTGTTACTTTTCCTATTACTGGCTACGCACGCCCGTCTACATACGTGATTTCTTTCGTGTGTGCATGCCCTACCTACCTCGACTGTATGTTGCTTTCCAACCTGCATACGTATACCTCCTAGATACAATAATGTAGCCAGACAACAGTAGGTTGGGTTACATTACTACCCCTACTCTTGTTGGGTTACATTATGTATGCTAGCGTAGCTCCCTGTGTCGTACACTCGCACAGAGCCACACCTGACTGTCTGTTAACGATACAACATCCATGCCCTAGCTCGCTGCTGTTAGTACAATCAACCCCCCCCACCTGACTGTCTGTTAACGATACAACCGTCCCATACCTAGCTCCGCTGTGTTAGTACATGCACCCAACCACCTGTCTGTTCTGTTCCGATACAACGCTCCATGCCCACCTCCCTGTGCACGGCACCCACCCACCTGACTGTGCTGTTTACGATACAACATCCATTACCTAGCTGCCTGCTGTTGAGTACCGCACCCACTCACCGACTGCTGTTACGAATATCCAACATCCATACCTTAGCTCCCCTGTGTGCAGTAGCACGCCCCCAGGCGGGACCACCTAACTGTGCTGTTAGCGATACAACGGCTCGGCAACCTAGCTCCTGTGTTAGTACATGCACCCACCACCTGTCTGTCTGTTACGATACATACCTCCATACCTAGGCTGCCTGAGGGGGGGGGGGGGGGGGGGGGGGGGGGTGTGTAGACATGCACGCCGACCACCTGACTGTCTGTTACGATACATACCTCCCATACCTAAGGCTCCCTGTGTTAGTACATGCACCCTACCCGACCTGTCTTGTCTGTTTAGCGATACAACCTCGCATTACTAGGCTCCTGTGTTAGTACAGCCCCACCAACCGTGTCTTGTCCTGTTAGCTGATACAACCTCCATGCCGCACGCTCCCTGTGTTAGTAACACGCCCACACCACCGGTGACATCTGCTGTTACGATACAACATCCATACCTTAGCTGGCCTGTCTTTTGTACACCGCACCCACACACCTGACTGTCTGTTTTACGCATTAAGCAACCTCGCATACCTATGCTCCCTGTGTTAAGTACATCACCACACCTCTGTCTGTTACGATACAACCTCCATGCCCACCTCCGCCTGTGCACTGCCCCTCCACCACCTGAACTGTGCTGTACGATACAACATTCCAGTACCAAGCTGCACTGTGGTTTCGTACACGCACCCACCACTCTGACTGTCTGTTAGCGATACAACATCCATACTAGCTCCCTGTGTCAAGTAACGCCCCCACCACCGTGACTGTTACGATACAAGCCTCGCATACCTGCTTCCCTGTGTCAGTACACGCATCCGCCACCAACCGTGAATCTAGCTGTTACGGATACGAACCTCCATACCTACAGCTCCCTGTGTTAGTACAGCGCACCCACCCACCTGACTGTCTGTTAGCGATACAACCTCCATGCGTGCCAGCTTTCCTCTCAGCTGCCTCTGATACATCTACCCCGGTAGCATGCCAGCATACATGTATGCTACGTTCGCTTCAGTATAGAGCTTCACGCGAAGGCCACACATGCACCTCGATCGTTCGCAGCTGGCCGAATTAGAATTTTCAGCCTACCGGGGGACTATTTATAAAGTTTATAATTGTGTTTTTCTGCCGCGAGGCTGCGAGAAATTTTGGGAGCTCGGGAGGTAAAACCACGGGCGTCGATGAAGTGGAAGTATTTGGACTGGCGAATGCGGGCTAACATCCCCCTTTCCGCCCCAATCCCACACACGAACACCCCTGCGTTGGAGGAGTCACGTGGGCAGGAATCCATACCCGGCCGAAAAGCTGGATGAAAAAGACTATGCCCCCACTCTCTGCGCCTCCCCCCAACCCCGCCCCGCCACCCACGAGGAAGTGAGCCGGGCCCCCGCGCGCCCCCCACCCTCCGGTAACGTGACAGTTCGACACGGTCCGAGACGCCTGTAGTCCACCTCTTTTGCGCCCCCCGGATAGCCGGCACACGCACACATGCACACGCAATGCGACTACTATACAGCGCGGCCGCATTAATAATGGAGAACTTTTCTTAATGGTGGTAAAGCAAACGGTGATTCCAATCATCAGTTGCATGACGTACTGGCCACACTGCACCGTTTACCGACGCATTGGTTGACTCTGTCTATATGCCGACGTCGGTACTTAAAAACCGACCACCGCTGCTGCTACTGCTACTATGCTGCTACTCAGCTGCTGCTGCTCCTGCTGCTGCTACTCTACTGAGCTACTGTCTATCTTGCCTGCTGGGCTACTGCTGCTGGCTAGCTGTACAGCATTGCTTACCTGTTGCTACTACTGCCTGCTGCTACAGCTGCTGCTACTTGCTAGCCGCTTGCTGTATTGTTGCTGCTACTGTCTACTGCTGCTACTGCCCTGCTACATGCTAATCGCTAACTGCTGCTGGCACTTAGCTGAATGCTGGCTGTTACCGCTGCTGTACCTGGCTGGTACTACTGCTGCTTGCTTACTGTTGCTACTGCTGTCTGCTGCTGCTGTTGCTGCTAACCTGCTACTATGCTCTACTGCTGCTCTACACTGCTGCTGCACTACTGCGCGCTACTGCTGTCACTGCTGCTGCTGCTGCTAACTGCTGGCTGCTACGCTGCTGCTGTTTTACTGCTTGCTGCTGCTAGCTGTTACTGGCTGCTGCTAGCTGTGGAGACAATGCGCGAATTCACACACACTGGTGCTCGCCAATAATGCGAAGGGCCCGTGTGATATACGCGTAGCGCTACATTATCAGGCAGCATCCCAGACAGCGATGCTGTGCGTGTGTGCGTGTGTGCGTGTGTGTGTCGTGCGTGCGTGCGTGCGTGGCGTCGTGCGTGCGTGCGTAGCGGTGTGTGTGGCGGTGCGTGTGTGTGAAGCCTGGCGCTGCTAAGCATGCCAGCGCGAGGGTAGACTGTAGCGCTCAGCTAGCAAATGGCCACGTTGATAGACAGACGCTGGCAATCTGAGAGGGGAGTGTGCGGTAGGAGGGGGAGCGTGCGGTAGTAAGAAGAGAGGAGGGGGAGGTGTGGCGGGTAGGAGAGAGAGGCGGAGGGGGAGGTGTGCGGTAGGAAGAGGGGGATCGTGCGGTCAAGGAAGAGAGCAGGGGAGGGGAGGTTGGCGGGTAGGAAGAGAGAGCTGAGGGGAGGGTGTGCGGGTAGAAAGAGAGGGCGGAGGCTGTGCGGGTAGGAAAGAGAGGGGAAGGTGATAGAGGGTAGGAAAGAGAGAGGGAGCGTGTGCGGTATGAGAGAGGAGGGGGAGGGGAGGTGTGCCGGGTAGAAGAGAGAGGAGGTGTTGCGGAGTAGGAAGAAGAGGGAAGGGGAGTGTGCGGGTAGGAAAAGAGGGGGAGGGCGAGTGTGGCGGTTAGAAGAGAGGGAGTGATGGGCGGGTAGGAAGAGAGAGGGGAGGGGGAAGGTGTGCGTAGGAAGAGAAGAGGGGAGGGGGAGGTGTGCGGTTAGGAAGAGAGGGGAGGTGTGGCGGGTAGGAGAGGGACGGTGTGCGGGATAGGAAGTAGAGGGGAGGTTGTGCGGGCTAGGAAGAGAGGGGAGAGTGTGCGGGTAGGCAAGAGAGAGGGAGGGAGGTGTGCGGGTAGGAAGAGAGGGGAGGGGGAGGTGTGCGGGTTAAGGAAGAGAGGAGGTGTGCGGACTTAGAAGAGAGAGGGAGGGGGAAGGTGTGCGGGTAGCGAAGAGAGAAGGGAGGGGAGGTGTGCGTTAGATAAGAGGGGGAGGGCGAGGTGTGCGGTAAGGGAAGAGAGAGGGAAGGGAGTGTGCGGGTAGGAAGAGAGAGGGGAGGGGGAGGTGTGCGGGTAGGAAGAGAGGGGAGGTGTGCGGGTAGGAAGAGAGGGGAGGTGTGGCGGGTAGGAAGTAGAGGGGACGGTGTCGGGTAGGCAAGAGAGGGGAGGTGTGCGGCGTAGGAGAGCACAGGGGAGGGGGAGGTTGCGGGTAGGAAGAGAAGGGGAGGGGGAGGTTGTGGCGGGTAGGAAGAGAGGAAGTGTGCGATAGGAAGAGAGAGTAGAGGGGGGAGGTTGCGGGTAGGAAGAGAAGAGGGGTAGGGGAGGTGCGTTAGGAAGAGAGGGGGAGGGCGGAGGTGTGCGGGTGAGGAAGAAGGGAAAGGTGTGCGGGAGGAAGAAGAGAGGGGGGAGGTGTGCGGGTAGGAACGAGAGGGAGAGGTGTGCGGGTAGAAAGAGGAGGCTGTCGTATGAAGAGAGAGGGGAGGGGGAAAAAAAAAAAAAGGTGTGCGGGTAGAAAGAGAGGGGTAGGTGTGCGCAGGAGGAAGAAGAGAGGGGTAGGGGGAGGGTGCGGGTAGGAAAGAAGAGGCAGGGGAGGTTGTGCGGTAGGAGAGAGGCAGTGTGCGGGTAGGCAAGAGAGGGGAGCGTGTGCGGGTAGGAAGAAGAGGATGAGGGGAGGTGTGCGGTATAGAGAGGGGAGGGGAGTGTGCGGGTGAGGAAGAGAGAGGATGGTGTGCGGTAGAAGAAGAGAGGGGATGGGGCAGGTGTGGGCGGTAGGAAGAGAGGGGAGGTGTGTCGGTAGGAAGAGGAGGGAGGTGCTGGGGGTCAAGGAAGAGAGGGGAGGTGTGCGGGTAGGAAGAGAGGGAGGTGCTGCGGGTAGGAAAGAAGAGGGGAGGGGAGGTGTCGGTTAGGAAGAGTAGGGAGGTGTGCGGGTAGGAAGCAGAGGGGAGGTGTGCGGGTAGAAGAGAGGGGGGAGGTGTCGTATGAAGAGTAGGGAGGTGTGGGGGCGGTAAGGAAAGAAGGGGAGGTGTGCGGGTATGGAAAGAGAGAGAAGGGGAGTTGGCGGTAGGAAGAGAGAGGGAGGGGGAGGGTGGCGGTTTAGGAAGAGAGGGGAGGTGGCAGGTAGGAAGAGAGGGAGGTGTGCGTAGGAAGAGAGGGAGTGTGTGCTGGGTAGTGAAGCAGAGGGGACGTGTGGGCGGGTAGGACGAGAGAGGGGAGGGGAGGGTGTGCGGGTAGGGAAGAGAGGGGGAGGGGGCAGTTGTGGGGCGGGTAGGAAGAGAGGGGAGGTGTGCGGGTAGGAAGAGAGGGGAGGTGTGCGGGTAGGAAGAGAGGGAGGGTGCGGGTAGGAGAGAGAGGAGGGGGAGGTGTGGCGGGTAGGAGAAGGGGGAGGGGAGGTGTGCAGGGGGGGTTAGAAGAGAGGGGGAGGTGTGCGAGTAGGGAGGGGGAGGGTTAGCCGTACGTGTGTGCAAAATCCATCTCTGAGTGGAGCAGGAATAGAAAGAGCCACACATAGAGGGAGGGAGATAGAGAATGTGAGGGATAGACACACACACACAGAGATAGGTAGATAGAGAGATAGAGAGAGAGAGAGAGCGTGAGAGAGAGAAGGGAAAGAAAAGTAGGAGATTCCGTTATCAAAACGTAAAAAATTCGTAGTTCATCAACCGCCTGTAGATACTGATATAGGAGTACCTGTGTTGTATTGTGTAGCGTTGTTTGAAAGCGGTTAGCTATTCTGCTGTTCTTTGCACGGTTTCAAAATCAATCTATAGCAGCAGCAGGTATTTTTTTTAGCAACGGTAACTGTTATTATATACTTCGTACGTACAAGTTATTCGCATGCAATCATCTCAGTCGGTATCGAACTGTCGTATGCCCTCTCGCTGTCTCTTCTTACGTGCCTCCTCTATCTGCTGTCTCCACCCCTCTTTCTCCAACTCTTTCTATCTCGCTTTCTCCAACTCTTTCTATCTCTCGTTTTCCAACTCTTCCTATATCTCGCTATTTAGTATTTAACTAATAATTATGCTGCTATGCCTGTATTTAGGAAACGCTTTTGTTTCGTATTCTTTACTCAGAAAAGAAGATACAGTGCGCAACGTAATTAGTTCATTACAATGATCTTACTATCGACAGCCATTTAATTAAACTTATCAGCTAATTATATTATTTGGAAAGTGAAGGGACCCACCTAAAGGAGTATTAATCTTCCATGACCAGCTATCAAAATTTAATGCTTTGGTTTATTATTTCTAAGCAATTATTTCTATGCGATGCTTTTCGACTAATTGCCTTTAGTGGTTTAAATGTTTTTACGTACGATGATGCTCACATCGCTTCCTGCTACGTTATAGTTGAAACTAACTATACATCGTAAGCTTCGACTGTCACACAGTAGAACGTTGTAATTGCGATGTTCTGGCTCATGTTAAATGTGGATTTATGTGACATGTTCGGGAGGCTACCGTTCCAATTAACGCGCATGAAAGTTTTGTGCAAATACCAACGGCGCACAGCGATGTGTGCACGGAGGATTTCCCTGCCAGCGGTCGTGGGGAAAAATGGCTTCTCTGCTTCATTAAAAAAAGCTTCCAAGTCACGATGCAAGGACCAGATGTGTAGAAGCCTTCATACTGATGTATCAATGATCATAGAGTTGTATCTATCCTGATGTATCTATGATCACAGTGAAGCCTCTACCCTGATGTATCCATGATCACAGTGAAGCCTCTACCC